TGTGAAGCGCATGCCGAACCGCGAGGCAGAATTATTTAGATTATTTAATATTGTTTGCATTACAACGGGATCAGATCCCAGAAGAGCTATGTCGTCTGCGTACTCGATATCTGTGAGCGGAGGCCCAGGAAGCACTTCGATCCCACAGGCATTAGAGGCTGGTAGGGCGTCTTCCATGATCGTGTCAATGGCGAAGTGCTTCGCGAGTCGAGTAAAAATCGGCAGACAAGAGTCCTCAAATTGGGGCGGAAAACTTATCGGCTCCTCAAAAGTCATTGATTTCCACATACGTCACTATGACATGTTCCATGCTGGTGGGTTGGGGCTGTTCCTATTGAATTCCGCCCATCTGATGCACATTCCGGTCATGGAAGTGAGAACCAAAAGCTGCTCTAGTGCTCTCATAGAGACCAATCTCAGCGGCACTAATCCACAACAACTATCCGCTATCACACTCCTATTTGCTCAACAATTCCGATTGATGCATTTCCTGCTTATTCGGAAGATTTTTAAACATACCCTGGTAGTGTTATTCTTTGCAGTCTTTTTCTGACCGGAGGCCAAAGAGTTCGAATCCACCTCGTTCGGTGTTCTCCAATTATTTGAACGAAGTCTCTCGATTTGGTCAAATAGTCTATGAACGTCATCGATTTGCAATCTAACAATAGCCCAAAATCCATCCAAATCTTCAAGAGAAGTGAACAGGTGCTTGACATCCGGGTCACTCGGTGCAGTCTGTTGATTCCATTCCAAATTCAGCTGACAGAGGCCACGAAATTGTGCAAACTTTTCGGCTATAAGCAGACGTGCTTTTCCGATTGCAGTCCGCAGTAGTCCAGAAGCTGAAGGAAAACAAGGGAAGAGAGGAAATCACGTAAGACCGTGACGGAATAACAGGTGTCGACAAAACGGGGATCCACAGGATTATCAAATGGGATCATCACAGTGGAAGAAACGCCGAGCTAGCAGAGGGATGACTCACATTCCTCGTCCAAAGCCTTGTCTGATAGGTCAAATTCAGCACGATCAATCAAAGTAAGCAGTTCAGCTTCACTGTGAGCAGCTTGTCGTAAATAGTAATGCCCATCTATGATCGGGGATTGGGGTACTGCAGCAACAGACTTGTTCTCGGACTCCTCAGTCCTCTGCTCCGTTGGGAAATCATCCTTCTCCGTGAGATGCGAAGTTCCATTCATGGCTTTGGACCCATTTTCGATGACCGATTCATGACCTACGACGACCGCGGCCTTGTAGCGTTTGGCTTACAAGATTCTCCCTACTAAATCGGATGGTGAAACCATCATGAGCCCTTAAGCACTAGTGGATAGCACTAGAACATGGCCAATAACACGTCATCGATGAAAGGCCTTGATTTTAGCCAATTCATTCCTAACACATTATCATGCCACAAGAAAACTGTCAGCTTTGTGCGATTTTTTTTTTCAAATCGAATCGTATGCTTCAATATCAGTTGAGGAATTAGGAATGTGATCATCGTCGACAGCGAATTGAATTGACTACTACATTCAACCTTTCCGTATCTCCTAGGTTAAATCCAAGCAATCAATGCTATGAAAGGACATCGCCCGTGTGAGATGGAATACACTTCAAAGTGGAAAAAACGAAGCAACAAGGTCAAGGAACAACTGAAGAACAGCGAGTAATTTGCGCTAAACATTTGAAACCGAAATGGGACGCCGACCGACACGAGTACGGTACACAGTACACCCCGACAGGCACATGTGAGACCTAGTCAAAGCGAATTTTTTTGAAGTCCCTGTTCGGAGGGGTGGGTCCAGTCCACAATTTTATGCGAAAATCAAGCGAATCCTAAATCAAACATGCATGATCCGTTGGCATTTCATACTATTTCATTCAATTTGATCCTGTTTGAATTACACAATAGGGATTAAATAGGAGATTCCAATAGAAATCTACATGTTCATTTTTTCGTGAAATCCCATTAACCGTAGCAGTTACTGTGTGACTCTTCCTGTGTAAGTAAAAACCTAAGTTGCAGATATTTTGGCAATTTCTACGCTTGAGTTGTCGAAATGATCGATTCACATTAAGTTTAAAGATAGACTTCACTAGATAAACGGCACGAAAATGAGTTATTAGTCTATACCAGGCTGAGTAGAACACGAGTGGCAAAATGCTTTTATGTAACGGATTCAAGTTGTGCGGTACCACGAAGGTTAGAGGGAAGTTTGAGGACAGAATGATCCATTCTACGTATACCAGATAGATTCCCGAGTACGCCAAAAGAGACGCACATCACTTCGAGTGTGCTTTCAGAGGACAGCTGGTGAAAAGTCCAGGGGCCTCATTTCTCTGAAGTGGTGACCCCTATTTGATATTTCTCAAAACGTTATCGTTTGAGGAGGTACTGCGCTCACTCGGAGTGTTATTCTCACAACTGAGCTCCCGATAATTTGAAGTAATCGTTGAGTTGACTAGAAAATCTGGACCGAAACACTGTTGGCCTAAAACTCCACGGCTCGCTGCAGTACACATGATCCACGGAATGAGGCCGTATACGGGAAATTCGTAGAAGACCCCATAAGGACAACACATCGGAAGTAACCAGTAGGGTTAACTCGGCTCTTGGACATCCTGGCCAGAGAGAAATCAACCACCACGCCAGTGTTTGCGTTTCCACACTTATGGAAAAAGTAATTCCTATTGGGGAGTGATAGGGCTGCCACGATTCAAAGTTCCCGGTGGTTTTCAGGGGGGGGGGGGATTATGTTTTCCGATAATCCAATGGTGAAGCTCGGGGGATTTGGCAATTTCTACGCTTGAGTTGTCGAAATGATCGATTCACATTAAGTTTAAAGATAGACTTCACTAGATAAACGGCACGAAAATGAGTTATTAGTCTATACCAGGCTGAGTAGAACACGAGTGGCAAAATGCTTTTATGTAACGGATTCAAGTTGTGCGGTACCACGAAGGTTAGAGGGAAGTTTGAGGACAGAATGATCCATTCTACGTATACCAGATAGATTCCCGAGTACGCCAAAAGAGACGCACATCACTTCGAGTGTGCTTTCAGAGGACAGCTGGTGAAAAGTCCAGGGGCCTCATTTCTCTGAAGTGGTGACCCCTATTTGATATTTCTCAAAACGTTATCGTTTGAGGAGGTACTGCGCTCACTCGGAGTGTTATTCTCACAACTGAGCTCCCGATAATTTGAAGTAATCGTTGAGTTGACTAGAAAATCTGGACCGAAACACTGTTGGCCTAAAACTCCACGGCTCGCTGCAGTACACATGATCCACGGAATGAGGCCGTATACGGGAAATTCGTAGAAGACCCCATAAGGACAACACATCGGAAGTAACCAGTAGGGTTAACTCGGCTCTTGGACATCCTGGCCAGAGAGAAATCAACCACCACGCCAGTGTTTGCGTTTCCACAATTATGGAAAAAGTAATTCCTATTGGGGAGTGATAGGGCTGCCACGATTCAAAGTTCCCGGTGGTTTTCAGGGGGGGGGTATTATGTTTTCCGTTAATCCAATGGTGAAGCTCGGGAGACTGAGATAAAGTGGTCCAATTAGGCAAGAGGTCCCTTACGCTTTCAACATCTGACTGCATTGAAGTAAACTCACCAGAATTTTTATGAGTTGCCATTTATTCTTATTTCATTTCAAAAGGCATCTTCAGTATCAAAACCTCCCGTTATCTTGTAACTGAGAAATATATGAAGAGTGTCCCAAGGGCATTGTTTAAACAACTACTCGATTAAATGAACTTTTTTCTATCCTGTAACAGGGTTCTGTCGTTTCGCAAAAAAACGCAGTGTCAAATTTTAAGGCAAACAGATGGAAGACTATCGATCTGAAGACGTGTATCCTGAAAAAGTGCTAGATGTGGACAACTGGCAGACAGCTTGGAGAGCGAAATTTCGTTTTTATATCGTGATCAACTGAGTGACTGTTTTGTAGGTTGGGTAAAAGTGCGCCGTTTATTTGCTGTACAATGTCACTCTGAAGCGAAAAATGATTAAATGCCTGAACAGAAGGTGCTAGTGTGAGTAAACAGAAGAAATCAATAACATGTGTAGAAGATTCTGAAGCAGAAAAACACAAAGAGGAGCCAATCAGCCCGACGGTTCGACCAAGATGCTCTGAAAAGTGAAATGTACACTATGAGCATCAACAGAGACAGCAATATCAGTGTCGACACTGATGCCACAGTGCAATACAATCACAAATTCCACTTGGTGCCTTAAAGGAGAAAAGGAGAAAAGAGTATGGACTTGGCGCTAGCCTAGCGCAAACATTCTGAACTGTTCACATCCCAAATTCTCAATCGATCAATGCACGAAATTCTCGACAGTCTCCAATGTTTCTCCCTGAATTACAAGGATGTTCAGAGACTGCACGCTCTGAAGCACAACTTTGCACTTTGAAGGTGCATGCCGAAAAACGGTATAATGGTGGTTAGTTTGTGCAACAGTGTTTGTGCTTAGTCTTCAGAGATGAGGAAGATTTCGTCTGCATACTCCAAACCGACAAGACTCACACAAGAAACGACTTTGCACCATTATTTCGTCAATGACAGAGATGAACCATAATGGCAATAGTGGGCATCCTTGACTGGACGCCAGTTTTTGTCGGGAGGCTTGTGGAGGGCATTCTTACATACCCTGAAGTGTTTGAATACAGGGACCGGACTATGTTCACCAGCTTTTGGGGCATTTTCCGTTGAGTAAATGCAATTAGGAGCAATCACCGATCACTAGGAGCGAATGCACCTTTGAAGTCAGGGAACACCAGGGGTGTGGGTCGTCCGGCATCGCCTTGTCATATGGCTTTGTCCTAACAACTGACAGAGTGTGAAGATGTGGCCCGCGTAGCCTTCACCCGATTAAAATCCCGCTTGATACTCACGGGCCAAGGATTCACGTGCTGCCCGTAAAACGACAGAGAATCAGTCTCGTTACAAGAGGATCCCAGGTGGTTACTACAATCATGACCCACTTTGGAGGTCGGCAATAGTACTGACTCACACCAGTTGTCTAGGACCGTCTCTTCCTTCCAGGCACACACGAAGAGGGTATACAGGCTTCGGCTGAGGAAGTCATAGCCATCTTTGAACAGAGTACGTTGAAGGCCGTCATAGACAGAAGGACGACGACTCTTGAGTAGAGATACGCATTTGGATACTTCTGAGACTGAAAAGATTACATATTTTCGTCTACATTTCCGTCAAAGGTTGATAGCTCGGATGGGCTGCGATGTAACCCAGCGGTTCAAGCGCTTTTTCGCTGGATATAAGAAACCCATTGCGATCTTCGATTGTTTCTATGACAAGTGCTGCTGAAAGAATCAAATGGAACAACCTGCAGACATTTCCAACACTTTCCTCCTCTTCTATTCCTTTGGTATTTCAGACCCACTAGGCTTCCTGGACTGTGCGGACACTCAGGTTTACCTAGAGTCGAATGGTGCGTCGAGTTGGATTGTGATTCCGGCTGGAGGGAACCTGTCACCAGCATAGCAGGGTCCTGTTTGAGATGCAATGCTTGGAAGAGGCTGAGGGTGGAAGGCTGAGTATCACGAACTGCTTTGGTATATATCAAAAACAGAGGGAATCAAGCGTGCGAGTAAGGGCCGCTTGTTGTCTTGCTTGCTTCAGTGTGCGAATATTAAAGTTGAGTGAGCAGACCGACTTTCGGGGATTGAAAACTGAGTACGGGGTGTTTGGAGTTGTTACTGAAGACGGACGCGCAGAAGCTGTAGCAGAGTGAGATGCAAGGTAAACAAAGCGGCTGGTCCTAGTGCTTGAAACCACGCAGATAGCAATCGTATTGGTGTAACAGAGTAAAAGGCAGAAGACATGAAAGTGTAAGAGGGTAGGCAGCAGGAGTACAAGACTTCCCCTTATACGCCCCGATGTATACTGCAAGACGACCTGGATGATGGAACAAGCGGCCGTCAACGTTGCGTAAGAGTAGTTTTGGTTGTGTCAAGGCACCCAAACCTGGATTAAGAGGGTGGGCATCAGTAGTACGAGACTTCCCCTCATACGCCCTGATGTATACTGCAAGATGACCTGGGTGATGAACCAAGCGGCGGTCAACGTTGCGTAAGAGTAGTTTTAGTTGTGTCAAGGCCCCCAAACCTGGACAGGAAGGCGATTAGGATCCTCAGCCAAATCAATCATAGGAAGGGGATTAGGATCCTCAGCCAAATCATTTGGTTCGAAAGCCTGACAACAAGCAAACGTCCGCATACTAGCATAGTACTACAAGATTTTGCGGAACTGTTCACCGCACATATTCCAGCATCAAACCTGGATGACCAGAAGACTGTTCGTTAAATCTCTATCCACTGACCAAACTATGCATGGAAAGGTAAAATTTCCAGTATAGCTCAATGAACCATAAAGGTGCACAAACCGTCACACCACAAAATAAGGTCCGGACTCTTCGCGATGCGTACTATATGAGGTTACGAAATGTACGGTTACTTTGGACATTTTTCATGCTGAGAAGTCCTGGTAGTATTCACAGGATGTCCCAGCAAAATTCCTAAGGCGATTTCATACGAAAGTAATAATGTTCAGGAATAAATCGATCAGGAAACAGGATGTCCGACTTCTCGCATGGAGCTCGAAGGGTCGCGCATATCTTCTCTCAGAACGTCTTACCTTAAAACAATTTTGGACTCCTGTCCAGACAGCCCCAGATTTCTACTGATCCTTTATGGAAAGTTTGTTGATAGATTTTGTGAAAAATATCGCGAGTTTTGAATATTAAAGACACTTTATCCAGTTCCTCCTTACTCTTCCTGAAGAAACCTATGGTCCTACGGCAATGTTTGGTGTCTATCCTATCAAAATAGTCGCACGGGTGAATAGCGAGTAGGTAGCTCACAATGAAAGTACAGTCAAAGGAATAGCATCTTAGGTCTCCAGCTGACTGCCTTCCAGGAGAACCAGTAACTCTGAACAGGATGCGCAATGATCTCAATGGAAAACACCCAGAAGCTCGGAATCCAACCTTGACAACATGGAGGAAATGGCAAGCGACATTAGTAATGATCAGTCACAAGGTTGCCGGAAGAATGCAACCTTACGTGCTATGTTGCCTCCCCAGTAAGTTAGGGTTCGTATTTCATTAGCACGTGAAATCTCCGGCTTCTACTCGTGGACAAAAACAGTAGAAAGGAAAGGGTAAAGTTTTACAACGAATGAAAAATGGCGATGACGAAGGATACCAATATAAAAAAGGGGCCAAATAATCACGGAAGTCGTCATAACCATCATCATAGACAACAGTATTGCTAACTAGTACCTAACTTAAATACAACCGTGGAGGAAGGAGGTCCGAGTAAAGGGTAAAAAGAAGGAAGATGAGCGGGGTCTTATTGAAAAAAGCCTACCCTCTAGAAAAAAGGTTGAAGAGTGAGGTGTCTACAAATCCTGTTGGGGGAAGATGCCACTAGTAGGATTTACCAATCCCATCCAACATAAAAATCGCAAGGGGTCCAGTGTAACATGAAGATCAGACGTTTCCAGAGTCTTGACATTTGGCCAAGATTATACACACTTAGAAAAAAGCGAACAGGACAAAGAGTTGCACCCAAGCACAGGTTAGCGGTCTCTTCACATTTCAACACATTGGGTGATGTTTATCAGTACCGGTCAAAGGCACGGTGCTAGCCCTGAAAAAACATCGAACGGTCGTCTGATCAGACTTCCCATAAATTATTGAATACAAACCAATGTAGCTCAAACGACAAATCAAGCGGCCGACCAAATAGCCATGGTTCAAGGCAGTGTGTATTCGCCTAACAGACAGTTATAGGGGACCGGTGACAAACATTCGCTAATGTGTTTGATTCGCTAATTCCATCGAAATGATTGATGGAATACGATAAAAAACGAACGGGAAATTTCTGGATAGAAAAATGTACGTTGCTGCGGTGAGTTTGGCAGAGACGTTTATGACGCCACACGCAGAGGGTATTCAAGATGAGCGGAACGTTAGAAGGATCAGTTGAACCCACTTTTGGTATTGTGCTAATTCGCGAACTGTCAACCAACGTGAGGTTTACTTTTCGGAGAGGAAAAGTAGCTGATTTCAAAGATCGTAGAACATATGGATTGTGGAAAGAAATAGTGGCGCACAATTTCCGAACTTGATGAAAAAGTTTCGGCAAGCGACGCACTATGTTACCCAGCCATAAGTGACACTAGTTAAACAATTCGGGTCCTCCACAAAACGAAACATGCGCACGTCAACTGCCGGAATGTCCACATTCTGTTAAATGGTGGCAGTAAAACGATCACTGCGACGACGGGTCACATGCTTTTAAAAAAATCGGATCATCAAACTCAGACATTAGACGAATTCCAGGACCCTACTGGTTACGTTACACATGGTCAGCAAACAACTCAGGTCTTTGCAGAATTGTTCTCATCTTGAGCAACAGCGTCCAGAAACTAGTCACACTGGGACCCAGTATGCAGAACACACATTTTAGGCGCACGGGACTTCGACGCAGCAGCTTACCTCAATCTATGAAATAGCTAATCTACTTCTATTCAATGTTTTGCTAATGTAATGATTTATCGTTCTACGGTGTAAATCAAGAAGGGGGCTATCCAGACACAATATGTGACTGCTTGCAAGCTCTGGGTTCGAATCCACGTACCAATGATAAACACTGTGCTTTCTCAATAAAACATTAGTGTTGTTTGGCTAAAGCAAACAGTTCTGCATACGAAATCATAACCACCATCAACTGTCACCTCGGTTTGATATTGCTACTTCACTGCCGTACACAAGTGGAAACCTATTAGGTTTCATCAACGACAGCTGTACGGAAGTTGCAAGTGGATGGGGAAACTTGAAGGGCAATTAGCAGAGTCGGAAGCCCTTGTGGTTCAGAAACAAGGTAGCTAGTGGATACCAGCATACCAGTGTAGTCCCCCGGATAGCTTAATCGATTATAGAAGTACACAAGTGGAAACCTACTAGGTTTCATCAACGACAGCTGTACGGAAGTTTCGTGTAGCAACGTACTTGGCGCACATTACCGGAGAGTGCGTGCCACAGACTACCCGTTCACTTCCCCTTAAATAACAGAGACCTAAATGGTCAAGCTATTCAGGAGATACGCAATTGCGTTGCCCGAAGAAGTGAAGAATGGATCGAATCATACCATCACGAGGGAAAGTTGCGATTATTTCAAGAAAAAAAAACATCGGCTGATGGGGAACATTTCAACGGCTCCGCAGCAAGCCATTCAGTACGCAATTGCGTTGCCCGAAGAAGTGAAGAATGGATCGAATCATACCATCACGAGGGAAAGTTGCGACTATTTCAAGAAAAAAAGAAACATCGGCTGATGGGTAACATTTCAACGGCTCGTCAGCAGAAGCGTATCGGCAGAAAATACGCAGTTCGTAAGTATTGTGGGTGAAAACACGTGGACACATGTGGTCAGATAATGGTCAGGTGAACCTACCGGGATGGGAGAGAACGTCATAAGGATGTGTTGTGATGAGAAAATCTATGGTTGAAGCTGGGTTAATGCTTCGACCAGGGACTGGTGTTGGAAAGAAAACAAGTTGGGATCGGTACCATGCTCCCAAGGATTTGTACAGGGGGTGGGCAGCTGGACCACTCTAAAACCGTTAAAAGCTGAAAGCTGTTAAAGCTAAAGGAAATGCAGAAACTTGCTTTAAGATCGGCCTAAAGTGTGCACACAGTTAACATGCGACAAAACTAATGAAGAGGACGAATCACTGCGATCCATAACGAAAAAAACGTGTCACGACGATCACAACCGAATTTGAGCCGGAAAAGTTGCAAATTAGGTGTGCAGGCGTCAAGGTCAGACGGAGTTCGGAAACCGGAAACAAAAGATTAACAGAAAGTACGGGAAATCAGAGATGGATAGGGTTGCCACATCCAGGCTGATTGGAACAATCGACGATGGAGGACGAATTTGACGTGGCAACTAAAACTAATTGGTGTATTGGGAAACTGTGGTATCGATAGAGCTGGACACATCAAAACTCAGGGTTTCGGAGTGACGAACCAAACGAGTTTCCTATGAATCGGTTGGTGGAAAAAAGACCGGGTCACCTCCACATGCGAATACGAAGCAGACTTCCAATAACAGTGACTTTTTAGAGCGTTGTCTTTTAATTCGTACCGTTTACGGTACACATCAGACTGAAACATCAACTCAACTGAGAAGAGTCAGTGGGTGGGATTACTTAAATCAACTATGAAACAACCCCCGATTCTTCACAGACTAACACAGTTTTCTAAATGAGAGTTTTGTAGCAGCAACTGCGAGCCACGTACGGATTCTTTAAATTAGCAATCGCCGTAAAAGTAGAAAGCTCAAGAGGAAGCTGGTATTATTCCTATCCAATAAACTTCAAATCAATAAATAGACTCATTTGCAAATCAATTTGGTTTTCACGGGAGACTCAATTGAATCTTACGTTTATGATGTCCTCCAACTGAAGGTGCTGCACACAGGCCGCCTCATGATTCAGTTGGCACGATATTCGAGATATCGCAGTATATTTTCATAAAGGAAACTACTCACAAGAGTTTTCAGCAACCTTGTGAGTAGTTTCCTTTATCAAACCACATCTTTTTCCTATCTAATCAACTGAACTTGTACACGTCCCCCGGACTAAGACTTTGCCGCCATTCCTCATTAAAGAAAACAGGATTATGTATGGACATCATCATCAATGGGCGAACAAAATACCACTCTATTTCTTACAGGATGATTCTGATGTGCCCAGTGTGTCCTGGAGTGACATACTGGTGAGTTGGAAACCTAGTACCTATGTACTACTGACGACCTCTGACAGGGATGAAACATAAGTGCTCCAATGTAGGGCCTGTTGCATCCACGTAATATCGAATACAGTTGACTGCAACTAACAAAAAAGGGATGGACATCATTTCAGCTGCGTGACGATGCACGAGAAAACGCTAAACACTGGTCGGTCTAAGTTACCTTAGGAAAGACGTTGTAAAAGCTGCGGACAGAGCGGTTGCTCTACAAGGCGCCGATGATGAGGCAGAAAGAAAAATTCGCCTTTTTAGAGCGCGAAGGAATGTGCAACTAACCTGCGATAAGAGATCCGGTGCCTTCGCTCGTTGGAATATCGTCTTCCATCAAGGAGAGTGTGGTCTGTCTCTCGAAAGATGTGTTGGGCCGAGAACGACGACTGGCATGTGATACGGCTAGCATAATCAGCGAGGAACGCTTCCAGTTGTCCTTGTGGTCATCTATGGTCCCTGTTGGGCTCAGGGGCTATGTTCGAGAAAGAAAATTAAGGGATCGGTTAGTATAACTTATGAGGCTCAATGATCCCATCTAGATCACAGAGGGTGCGCAGTTGCACGTAAGGGGTCGGATCAATTAGGGTTCTAAGGAGAAACGGAAGATCCGAATAGGACAGGAATAAGAAAGCGGGAGAACAGGTCGAAGGTTGTGAATAATGATGGATCTATAGACGATTACGAGATGTGCACATCAAGCTGAACTATGATGGAAACCAGCACCTATCAAAGGGAAGCACAAATATAAGCTAAAGTGAGCCAAACGGCCAAAATGTCTCCCAAGCCACCACTACATGTGAAGTTGCCGAAAACCTTCGACAGCTAAGTAGCTGTTCTGCTATTCTTCAGACTTGCCAGATACGTGTGGTCTCTGAGTTTCCGAAAATCTTATTTCCTAATCGGATACCAAATAGACTGTCACAAACGAGACATTAAACTGAGATCCATTCGAGTCCTCTGTTAAAACCAGGTCACCGTTTCCCAGTACAGGGTTGATCTCACGAGGAGGTCTCAAATCCAAGCGACCTAGCAAATAGGAGCTGATCACATTAAAGTTGAGCTGCCGGCAACAGATCGATGCAGCACACAGAGCAGCTCACAATGACTTGGTTTGGACCGACAGTTTTCCTAATTAATTACCTACTGAAATGCAATGAAATATCAACTTCTTGCACAGAACCTAAAATACACCAGCAATTAGTCAACAGGATAATCTGACGACAAATCCTGCAATTTTTATGTTCTATAAAGCTCGGGTGAATAATACATAATCCCATTCGTGGAAACCTGGATTGACACTAATATCCCTGTGAGACGGCGTAGATAATGCTATAAAGTGGAGTGGGAAACCACGGAGTGGAACCAAATAACATAGGTTGCCCTCAAAAACGTACCGAAGTTCGTCGAAGACGCACTGCACTCGGCGTTCCTTCTGCAGATGAAGGACAGGGCGAAGGTGATGTCGTCCGCAAAACCTGAGTGAAAATAACACGACAGCCAGTGAGCAATGTCAACTGAGATCATTCTTCAATGCGCCGAACCAGTTACCAGAAGTCCGTTGGTACGACACAATTAAATTCAATCAACTTACCACCTACGAACCGTTTACCATAGGCACAATGGCTGCTTCAGTTTCAATCACCGGAAAGTGCGGCCAGACCTTAGAGGCGATGGCATATTCATTTAAATCGGGAACTGAGTAGGTAGGCATTGAAAGCAATAACTTTGATTCACGAGTGCTATTGACTGCGCGATTGGGCCATTTCTGCTAGTATCATTAACCATTGGTGAGTTGCGTCCTGGCGTCTGCATATAGGAAGGCGGCAGTTGTCGACCTAAGTTTATTGGTTAGCGTTTTCATACTTCGTTGCTAGGTCATACATTGTTCACCTCTTCGTCACATGCACTCAGCACAGAGCTGGGTGAAAAGACAGTCTTCTGGCACGCAAAGTACACGTCCTAGACAGCGTAAACTGTGAAGCGTGAGTGATACACCTACCGTGGGAGAGTTCCTTCTTCCCAGGACCATATGGCACACCTCGGTATCGGATGTTCCCACTAGATCAGACCAATGCTTCGAAGACAACGATGGTCATCTCTGAGCGTAGAGCTCATGTCTCTGATCCATAAAGCAGTATGGATCGCCGTATACTCGGAGTTCGCACACAGTGCCCCCTATAAGGGATATAAATTTGATACGACACACGGCCATTAATCTGTACTGTACCCGTTTCTGTACTGTACTCGTTTCTATGCTCGTGCCCAGTATGATACTTTGATCGTACGTTGATCAAATAGGATACGATAAAACAATCTCGTATCCCTGACTGGCGGTTGGGAGAAACCGAGCTCTAGTGCGTTTGCGTCACACGATCATCATCATCATCATCATTATCGTCATCGACAGCATGACATCAGTGTTCAACACTGATGCTTCACTGCCGTACAACCATGACTTATTTGAAAGCCTTATTGTGAAGAAAAGAATAAAGGTGGATGGGGGAGGGACTTAGTGCTAGCTTAACACAATCATTCCGAGGTGCCTACACCTCCAGACATTCACTCAGGCAATCTGGATAGAAACTGACAACAAGAACGCCACTGACATCGGTTGGCAGCCATATCTTGTAGTGTCTCCAATCAGGCACAATGAGGATCACGCGGTCCCCACCCTGGAAGGCGAGTAGCACCGACAGCACCCAAGCGTCACACCATGTCATCGAAAAAGAGCAATCTTTCGAATTCATACACCGGGTTCCCCCGAACCGACCGTGGTTGGTACGATTCAAATTTTTATTGAAGGCAGAAGCGATTGGGATCCGAATACACAACCCACAACTATGCGTTCAAAAGAACTCGTGCGGTCTTTGAACCTGAGCTAGCCTACGGAAAAATTCGGTTTCATCAACTTCTCTGATACTGACGTCACTGATGTGACTTCATGACCCGCGTACCTCGCACTTCTTTGCACGTGAATTCAGGTGTCACGTAAATGTGTGACGAATAAGCCAATGGGACAAAGCGTGAGAAACAAGCTTCGTCGCTATCTTTGCTCTTATGAATTGCACAGGTATCTTCAACCATCTGGTGTTTTAAACTCAATTCCATAACGAGAACGAGCCGAGAACGGGTCGAGGTGGCTCAAGTGGTTAGAGCGCGAATTTACTGACCGGAAGGTCCGTGGTTCGAACCCGACCTCTGCCTCTCGGCTTGCCCTGTCCAGGCTTGGGCAACCTGGCAGTATCCCAGCCCTCGTGCTTCCTTCGGGTAGCATGGCAGCTAGGCACCAGAAGGGTGCTACAGCTGAACGATTATTATTATTTATTATTAATACATTATTGAGGACAAATCATCAATTGCATTTTAGAAATGCAGTTTTGTTTCCGTGACCCTTGTCAGCGTTAGAAATTGTTGCTACAGAGGACGATGTAGGGAAGATTGAGATCAGGTATGGGGGAAACTCTACACCGAACGGAGTTTATTTGCAGTGTGCAAAATAATGGACAGCACACCAACCCCAATCCTGTGTATGCTTAATACTTGCACTAAAAAACTAGGTTTGTCCTGACACATAATGCGTGGCGGTGGCTTGTTGGCATCACCGGATGCCAGACTTCGACACGGTCAACATCACAGACTCTACAGCATAGTCCTAACTCCAGGGCTAGTTGACAGCAGCTCACGTGACGTGAACTACATGGTCGAAGGATGGTTGGCAGTTGCCTAATCCAAGTACACATTAATTCCACTGTCGATCAACGGCTGAATGGGATGGTAGTCAACTATTAAGGGGAATGTTACGGATTCTAATCAAAATGACAATTTGTGGGACGAGTGCCGATGATGAATCCTAACAAATATCAAACAGCTGTACAGCGCTAGCTTTTCAAAACAGGTCTGTTTAAACTACAGCAGCAGACCAAAATGCAAGAGATTCAGTCTTAACCATAGAACATCTTACTCATTAATGGTGAGCATGCGTTATTTCCGAACTGTGTGTTTGTCCTTCACGTACAATATGATCTGTGTGGGTCTAATCTATCGATGATCCAAGTGGCATTAATAACAGTCATGTGACTGGCTCGCTGACATGGCTCACCTGCGGTTTAGTGAGAAAGTATCTGGGAGGAATTTAAGTGGCTACGGTGTCAGTCACAAGGCTAACCGAGTTCGGAATCGTTCCACTGAGAGGTTATTTTTTGACGAGGAGAGGGTAACTAAACAGACGCGAGCATATAACAAGTGTCATGGTGCTTAACGGCCCTCAAGTGACACTACAATGGAACCAAGAGAAAACCACACGATAACTCACATTAGGGTCATATTTGTTATGAGTGCCTGTTCCATTACATGGAATGACGCTTTGACCAGTGGAAACAGTAAGCGACTCTTCTTTAGAGAACCGGGTTGCCATCCGAGGGGTTGATCGCGCTTGCAGTAGTAGGTTGGAGGTGCCAACTGTAACAGCCTTTGTGGAAGATCCAGTACCGGAATCTGAAGGATCATTAGGTAGGACTGTTTCGTCGCGCCCCGCCGTAGTCGATACACGGCTGGGCTTTCGTGCTTGCAGTATAACTACGTTGTTATTACCGATAGATACAGGTTGTTCTTTCGGAAGCCAAGGACTGGGTTTTGAGGAACTCACTGTATTCGTCCCAGGAGCAGCAGACATTGGCGGGGAAGTGTTAGCTATAGGGAAACCGGGAGTGGTGAGATTGTTGGAAGACAGCGACTGCCGCTTATAGCCCGAGTACCCGAATGCTGCAACGGAAATGCTGAGGTAGCTTGGTGTATCTGGGTAGAGAGGAACGGGATAGTGGATATAGGAATGATCACATCGATCGTAAGGATGAGGAACAATCGAATTACGATCAACACGCGACTAAGGACATGCATACATATATATAAGTGCTTCCTCAGATAACGGATGAACCAGGCGGTTAGGAAACACATTATATACAGATATCAACCAACAGAATCACTTTGATCAATACATTAATCCGTGGGGCTCAGAACAAAGGTTGACCGACCTTAATATCAAACCATCAGCCGCAACAAATACGGAAAGCAACAAGTACGGAAAAACAACAAGCAAAACCAAGAACATTGAAAAATGGAGTGTAAAGCTTACATTGGGCAGTGCTTGACGAGTCGGACTGGTTGATTACAAACCTCTGCTGGTCGAACAATTTCGCAGCAGACAAGGAAGAAACCCGAGCACCTGGTCGGAATACTTCACCAGCGTTGACGTTACTTGAGGCGAAGTGTACGTGACCTTTGATTCGCTCACCGGCAGAATGCAGACTGTTCTTTCGGTTTAAAGCACACGGAGGTGTGGACTCTTTCAGTCGCAGAGTTGAGGGCGGGCGCGCTGCCTTTTGGATCAGACCGTGCTCTAAGGGGGCAATGAATAAAGGAAGGAAAGACTCAATCAAGACAGGTGGATTTGGAAAAAAATTAAGGCAGAGAAGGGTGGAGGTGGAAATAAGGAGATAGCTTTAAGCATTCTGTAAAGTTGTGCAACGACGCGGTTTAAGTGATGGCTCGACACAACTCCAAGGATAGCTACATTCCAAAGACGCATATGATCACCAGAAAATCGAAAAACCAGCTTGTCTACACCAGTAACAAAACGAACCCAAGTAAGCATGACTTCGAAGTCACAGACTCAAGAAAACCTTGGTCGAAACCGTCCACAAAAATTGTACTTGTCTTTTGATTAGAACTCAACCAGAGAATGTTCTGAATGAACACGAGAAAACTGGGGAACGAACAAAGGTCAGAACGTTGAACTATTATCAACCTGCCGTCAGTGTGCAACAATATGGATTTGCGGGGTAGAAAAGATGGGACAGGGTCGACAAATTGGTGATGAGCAGTAAGTTATTTCATTTGTGGCCACGACCATAGGGCAAATCTATTCCGGGCCGACGCGACGAAGTAAATAAAAACAGTAGACAAAGTAGGTATGGAACATCGATTTTCTTTTATTTTCGTTTTTACCTTTCGGACAAATATCAACAACAATATGAAGATGGTCCAGTTCACAGCTGTCAAGTGAAGCACGAGATACTACCAAGTTGCCCAAACTTAAAAAGCAGCAATCGAAAAACCAAGGATGGGTTCGATCCAGGGGTCTTCCGGTCTGCAGCCTTATTCGATGAGCTACCTCGAGTGCTCTGAAACAGATTATCACAACAGGAGTCAGCAGCTACATTGAAGATGCTCACATGGGATTCGAAGTTCAGTCGTCAGAATGATAGCCTACGACATCAACCGCCCGTTAACCAGGACCGCATATCTACTCCCCCCCAAGAGTTTGATCGTCATGACTTTAACTGGATACTAAGCCACTCGGAAAGAAAACGCTTTTGAGTGTCCTAACAGCCCCAAGAGGAAATTGGAGGCAGGACCGTCCGGTTGGCTTTCTAGAAGACTCGTTCTTCTGAGGTCAGCACTATGAGGATACCTCTATATGTGCCGCATGCATGTATCATGTATCCATTGCATACCATACCACAGCAGTAACTGAGAAGCTCTGACTGAAGTGTATATCTCACACTGACAATGGCTCCTCTTAAAGTAGCACGTGGGTTTACAGAACAGAGTTTCTGTCTGAGGAGTGAGGCAGCTGACTTGTCTTCGTCGTTCAGCCGAACAAATAGAGATCTTATCAGTGAAGCTATGCCGGAACATTGGCTAAAACAGATAAAGAGTGCCATGTGCATTTGTCTGGGCAAAACAACGAGTACATGAAGAGATCTTGTAAAATCAACACAGCGATAGTGACTCTGTCCAGCTGCTGCTGCGCTGTCGCTCGTAACTGATTGACTATTGGAAAAAGCCAAGCAACCCCGGTGTAATGATAGTCATATTTCTGTCGCTGGACGGTAACCCGATTTATCGAAATCAACTAAGCCTGTCACAGGGAAAAAATCACTACAAAGTTATCTGATTCATCCGGTACTCAGAAGTAAAATACTCAACAGGTCATTCGTACCTCTCGAAAAAGAAGAGCTTGATTGTTGCTAAGACCGACTCAAATCGATAGAAAGCTCACCTAATTACGTAGAAAAAATTTCGGAGTGCAAAAGAGATGAACCAGTATGGGGAGCTCGTCAAAGCGCACAGTGGGCCTCCCACGTGATTGTAGTATCTGGAATTTTCTAACTAGGTAACGTGATTCAGCCGCTAATCGATGTGAGTAGTTATTCAACGACGGCATCGCAGGCATTCCGTGATAAGCTACTTTGTATATGTGCGTTTGTGTGACCTTACTGTTATCGATCACAGATCTGCATCTCCTGCAAATAGGATTTCGGTGAAGAAAGAAATAGCTGTTTTTATTGGGAAACAATCCAGTTCCGTGGGAGCTGGGTCGTTTGAAGTGACATGGATTAAAGTGTACTTCATCTAATCCGTGAAATACATCAGCCGGACTTCGTTGAATAAATCGGTGCGACGTGAAAGAGTGAGCTTCCTGTTTACGATCAGTTCTGACTAGCAATTATTCGAAATCCAAGCAGTACGTCACATTTCGATGTCATCACATGCTTGGATACGATGTGACATACTGTGGTTTGCAGCAAACAACAAATGCACCACAATCACAGCGTACTGAATTGTCATTTCCCACTGCTCAGAAACCATCTATGGAGGGGATCAACAATGAATTGTTTCGCCGAATGGTTACAACTAGTATTGAGTGATTCAAGAGACTATTCAGGAGTGATCTCACATCGCGTCGGGAAAAGTAACTCCCTCTAAAGGTACCGCGACGAAACATGTGGGCGAACAGGAGGGAAGCGGTGTTGCCTCCGGCATCCCCTCGGAACCAAAGGTCTCTTCGTCATTTCCTCAAACATCCTATGGGAGCTTCACATCAGTGGCTACTTGCTTAGAGTGAGTTCATTCCTAAAGTTTTTCAACGGGTCATCCAACGACATATCGGGGAACGAACATTCGACTTCGCGATGCCCGTCACCAATTTTTGGGGTTGCAAGAGAGCGAGCGCAAGGTGACCTAGTCAGCATACAGGGTAACGTTCGATCATCGGTCGGGTCAGCAAGATAATGTCACTTACGTTAGTTTGATACTAATAATAATAATAATAATAATAATGTAATAATAATAAAAGCGGTTTCACGCACAGCAGTTTCTCCCACTAGATAATTCTCTCTGGACAGAATAAGTTCGGAGAACCCAAAGGTCTTAACTGTGAAGTGGTCCTAGCGATGGATTCCTCCTCACACAACACAGCAAAGAAAGCATTTACTAGTAATCCAAAGGGTGGTGTCTTTTTGTTCCACAAAACATTTTATTGTACGTAAACAGTGAGACAGCGAAAACGAGTTGTGGGTGAAGACATATGGAATTGGTACCAGAAAATTCATCCAGCGTTACAGCGCAACGGGGTTTTCAGATTGAGCCAGTGGTTCCAATGCGCCAACCGTTTGCTCAGTTATACACTTATTTGAAAGTTAGGTTGATGGTTACCTGAGGTTCGAATAAATTTCTCGTTTGTTATATACTTTAACTAAAAGTAAGGCCAACTCATGCTTTTATTGACTTAATCTTTAGAATACCGAAGCATTTTTCTTGGTAAGACACTACTTCCAAGGGTGATGAGTGCTTTCATTTACCTTATAAGCTCGATATAGCTTGGTGGTTGAGGATAAAAAAATAAAAATATAACTGTTCAGCTGTAACAAACTCTTCGTGCCTAGCTGCCATGCCACCCGATTGAAGCACAACGGTTGGAATACTGCCAGCTTGCCCAAGCCTAAACAAGAGAAGTCTAGATGCAGAAATCGAGCTCGAACCAAGGACCTTCCGGTAAGTGAATTCTCGCTCTAACCACTGAGCCATCTCCCTTCACGAGTAGTGTTGCGTCAGGGAAAGTTTGCTCTGCTTGACGAGTGCAGTTCCCCTATAGCGGAGGAGATCATTCAACTGTCAGTATGGCGGCGACGAGTGATTGAGATGAATGCGGTTTTCCCCCACACTTGAGTGGTTGCCCCTGATGTCTCTCATAAAAAGTGTATCCGCGAGCTATCGGGCACACCGGTTGGCCGCTTACTTTAGGATATTGATTCAGTTGGAGGAAGGAGCGTGCCCTCACTCAAATCACATTAGCACCACCGGTTTCAGACGAAAACGTTCATGTGGCTTAATCAATACTCTACGGATCCGCATTAGAGATGACCATAACAGTCGAGCTGAATGGAACTGTCAGAGTAAGTATTCAATAGCACGATATAAGCAAATGTTGAGTCGTTGAATTGCAATACTAAAACGCTGACCTGACCAGTGGCAAGCCAATTCGAAAAAGGCAATCCGAGGATGATTTTTAAAACCCGTTCACCAGCAAGCAGTGAATTAGGAGAGCGCGGAGGACAGTGTTCACGGAGGAAGCTGCTATATATGGGTTATTGTTCTCAAAACAAGTGCCATTTAGTAAAAATGTTCCCAAAACAACAATAGACGAGAAAAGGGAGATCATATGTGTTCACGAAACGCTGGGTCTGATAGCCATTGATCCAGACCCATCCAACGATCACACCTTACACCCACAACGTACTACGTACACACTGAGAGCGGTGACACTCACAACTTACCGAAGCTTTTCCCCAACGTGATTCATCATACGCCTGTGAAACGTAACTTACGAGAGTCAACATTTTGGACAGTTGGTGCGTCAGAGTCCACAGACAATCACGGGAAGATCAGATATACATGTGTAAACTGCGGTGAAAATTGCTCGAATACCCCACGGGGCCAGTGACAAAAAACGACAAGCATAAACGGAAAAACTGGACGTTCATCCCATTTTAAGATATGTTGAGGCAAAAAGAATTACTGAACACAAAATTGGTGGTAGGGCAGGGGCAGAAAAGACAAAACAGCTTGAAGACAGCTCAAAGATCCTGAGTGAAACGTGAGGAAGACTGCCTAACTAGTGATCCATGGGTGATTGGTCAAGGCCAATCTGTAGCACCCGTTAGCGACTCACACACAGCACCAACATACGGTAGAAGCAGGTGAACTGGGCACATTTAACGTTCAGCGTTGTGAATACATGGGTTGTTTGTTACATCCACCAACCATGGACAACTGTTTTCCAAGTATAGAAAGGAAACCGTAATAGAGCGTGAATCAAGATGATAGGCGTGTTAGTGATAGAGATGGGAGTCAACGAAGCGCTTGTAAAGAAGGATCCATTCGCAGAATCGTCTTAAGTGATGGGTTGATTACTTCGAGAAACAATTTATTTGGCCTTCCTGAACACAAGCTATGTGAAAGCCCTATGAATGTTGACAACAGTCTCCAATCAGAATCCCATTAGAAGTACAAATTAAATGACTGGGCCACACGATTTGGCATGTGCTTCATTCCTGCAAAGTTTAGGGTCTTACAGCAAGACTGGGTTCGATCAGACTCAGATTGCATGTTTATAGGTGAGCTGATCGGTGGTTGACAGATTTAGCTAATTGGTCTTATTAAGAAAAAACGATGTGAACGAACTTAAACTCCTCTTTATCTCTTCTTCCAGCTCACACGTCTGTATGAAAGATGAAGTCCATCAACAGAGTGAACCGGGACCAATCAAGCCAAAAAATCAGTAGTAAAAGGTCGACATGCTGTAAGATATGACAAGGTGTTTGAGGGTCATATTGGATTAAGATACACTCGCCTGACCACGTGAGCGCCAGTATCAATACGGTGTTGATGAGTACAGAGTGGTTTGCAATGGTTTTAGCAGTGGCTTAAAACCCAGATCTAGTTGATTTTAACAGACTAGATGGAATTCCATAGATACTTTCAGAAACTGTTCCAAGGTTGATCTGGTGTCCCCTATCGAGAGGTGCGCTGAAAGTGAACCACTGATGGCACGTTTTCATTAGCTGAGGCAGTCCTTACCGGGGACGAAACTATTTTCCAGTGTGGCTTTGGCCAACTTCCAGCTGCTGTCATATCATCCTGTTTGTTGGAAGTAGGACTTGCAAGGTTGCAGTAGGTTGCATACCGGAAACTTGTCAGTGAGTGATGAAGAGACGAAAAGGCATTTTTCTCGGAGTATTGCGGGGGTCTGGCTGAAACAGCTACTCAGCAACGATGAAAACTTTTTTGGGAGGGGGGAACGATTCACAGATGATATAAGCGCCAACCGGACCACATAGGTTATGGTGATGAGAACATATTCTTCGTCCTAGAATCGGCTACACGTATATCTCATAGACGACAAATCAAAGTGAACCGGTCACCTTGCAGATTACACTGGTTAGTTTACGCACTCCCATGTAGGCCTTACGTGAATGTGCAGTTAGTTATAGCGCTTCACCACGTCGCTTTGTCGGCTCTTTCAATTCTGTTGTTTGACTGTTTGTTGCGTAGAGTGGAGAAGTACAACTGCATTTTAGAGCGTTTCGACCTAAGAAGGTCTTGATCTCGATTGAGCCTGAATACACGTTCCGTCCTAGTAGTGATCATAATAACGTTCAGTTGTGGCGTCCTTTCGGTGCCTACCTGCTATTCCACCTGAAGGGAGCACCGGCGTTAAGATACTGCCAGGTTGTTCAAGCCTAGACAGGAGCAGTCGAGATGCATAGGTTGGGTTTGAACCACACACCTTGGTTTATCGCCCTCTACCGTAGGTATGTTCGAGCAATGGAATCGGTTATTGAGACTTGCAAGGTTGGTAAAACGAACCCTAGAAGTCCAGATATGTGATAGAATTCAGTAGAACAGGTATACCAGGTCTGCTACCAAAGCCCAATACAACAAAAACGGAATGAACTAACCATCCGCGTACAGTCCAAAGTGGGTATGTTTATGGAGTCGACAAAGCCGAAGATAACGCAACTGTGGTCAATAGTATACAACTTGAACGAAGTGATGTGACCAGCTCTTGACGAGAAACTAGCACAGTTAAATACGAGAACGTTCATTAGCAAAGGGGTTTTGTCCAATCGGTGCACGTAAAACTGGAATACTGTCCATCCATCCATCTATCCATCCTTATATGAAAACATCCACTACCTTGGCACATTGGATCGTTAGCACCAACACATTCCATGGTCACAAACGTTACAGATTATGACCTGGATTAGTACAGAAGCTAATCACGTGACGTATACAGGATGAACATGTGCATGAACCTAAACAGATACACCTCACTTTCGCAGCGCAGCGATCAGAGTTGGTTTGAAGAAACAGTGGCTGATTGACCACAACTCAATCCACTGTGATTTAGGTCATAGTGTTTCAGAGAGAACAGGACGGAGAATGCATATAGACTGTGTGAAATACAATGGAGAAGTCTGGAAGCAGCTAGTAAAGAATTCTCGACCAGAATACAGTGAAGCCTTTGCGAGGCTATGATGATTTGTAAGTTAATTAGAACTACGTCCCGCGCCTTTTCCGCCGTCAGTGTCCTACTCTAGGGACAAAGTAGACAGTAGGCACAAAGAAATAATTGAGTAAAACCCTTACTCCTCAAACATATGCTAAGCGTAGGGGTCCATATATGACAGCAACTCCTTAAAGTTCAAATTCCAACTAAAGTTTTATCCTAATAAGCTTGAAGCCAGCAAAATCTATCCAATCTGAGACAGATGCAGTGGTCTGGGTTGATCAAATTCATTTCAGTTCGGTTTGACAACGGTGAATCATGTACGTGACTGCGGTGGTTCAAGTCCCCACAGCTCATGGCAACCGACAGTGTGGGATGAAGGGTGTACGGGGAACAGATGAAAACAAGCAGCGCCGGGTTAAACATTACGAGCAAGTGAATACATACAACAGCTGGTGGTGGGACAGCTCAGCCTCGCAGAGAACACCACTAGTAGGGATGAGACCGAACCTCCAACTCCATTTTAATGCTCAGCACAAACTAGGACCTAGGAAACGGAACAACGTGACACACTTTGAAGACCCTGAAAATTGCCTTCAGTCCTTGGATGAGATCACCGGCACACTTATCGTTACATTATCATTTTTTTCGAACTTAACCAAGTCCCGTCAAAGGATCATGGCTCCACGTCAAGATGTCCATACAACACGTCACGATGCCACAAAGGCTGGACCTTCGAAAGGGCCATTCACCCCTCTCAGCATCTGTCCAGGCGAGCAAGACCGACGCTTACAATTTCCGCAGCCTATATGGCTAGGACTTCCGCTCAACCCGAAAGAGTGGTATGGACTACTGGTCAAAAGTCGCTTTTAGCATGAAAGCAAATACAAATGTGAGTGAATACTCGCAACTTTTTTAGCTGATCGGTTGCTGGTCTTCGCGTTCAAAACCCAACCAGGATCAATTAACCGAAATAATCAAACTACTAACGAACAAAGCGTCTCCAGGTGAAGATGGTGAACGGGCGGCAATTCACACAGCCTACTTTCTGACAGTTCTCGAACCTCGTCACAAACGGTTCTGCATAATATGGGATGGCGAAATGCTCCCAATCGATCGGGGTGCTTCTATACTTCTAACGATACCTCAAGATGGAGAGAAGGCAGTTTGTGAGGACTACCAGGATATCGGCCTGACAAATATCGCAGCCAAAATCTTTGCCATAGTATTACTGCGGCATCTCAGAGAAGTGAGGTCGCAGACCAAACTGAATCAGCGAGGCTTTCGTGTAGGAAGTGATTACATTGATCAAATATTCACGCTACGCCGTGTTTGGGGTACCGGCAAACAAATGACGCTTTCTTCATTGACCATCGTGCAGTATTTGACCCAAACAAAAGAGAATATCTTCGTTGTATCTTGATGGCGTATCAGATAAGCTGCTGAATCTCATCAGAGCTTACTGCTCAATCATCCGAGTATATGGGAAAGAAGCTACGGTGTTTGGTACAATGCGGATGCTTCTGGATGACGCAGCTATTTCCCTGGAATACCAATAAGCCCTAGCATATGGATCACGGACTCAGGTTATGCTGGTATCGTCATCCTGAGCGATCCCTTGATCGCATCGACCATTAAGCCTCGCTGGTTGGACCGGAAGTAGATTCTGGTGATTCTTCACCACAAGCACTGAACATCCAGTCTAGTCCGCTCATTGTCAAGGGAGAGCCTATGAAACAAGTCTAGTCCCTTACATAATTGAGCTCCTTGATTCTACGGAAGTATGGAAGCATGTTGGAACGATGGTGGTGTCAGACAACGGTGTTGTGATATGTTTCACCTATAAAAATTGAATCAGCGACACCAGTTATGAAGGTTTGGACATGTTCGCTGAAAATCAGATTCAGAACGGTCCAAACTCTGTCGCCACTGCCCTGCTCAGAATTAGGCTATCGCGTCGGAGGACGCCTGAAAATCTGACCCTAAAAAATTAAAGCCGATCTTCAACTTGGTATGGAAAATAGGAGATTCTGTGACGGCACCTTGTTGCTGATAGTGATTCATGGGCATGAGTGATCTGGGATATTCTTGGACCCGACTAAGCCTTCTCCAGGAGAAAGCCACCGTGAAGCAATGCAGGCAAGCGAACAACCTGGACAGAATCTGAAGCTAGGAAGAAAGCCGGCAGAGCGGTATGCCACAATTTGCCTACTAGAACGAGGCTCGTAAACTTGCTTAAACTTGTGTGGCCCCTGTGCGTTCTGACTATTTCCTAGCGAAGCTGAAAAGATCATAGTGAACTACATACTGGTTTTGTCAAAGTCCGCTTGAAAGGCGCATTCTTATGAAAATAAAACGACTAGGGGTCGCGAGAAAGATTCTGTTCTTCAGGGTATCGCCTGTTTAGAGATTTCATAACAGGGAATGGCAATACATCCGAATGGATCATTTTATGTTTAAGCGCGAATTAGGAGCGCTCTCGGGGTAGTGGTAAAGGAAGATACCAATTCTTATTCCTTACGGGCACTAATCTACACCTTTCCGCCAACCGCTTTTCACGAGAAGCAATAAACGTTGAAAATTCAGACGGTCACTTGTGTGTCATGAGCGATCAATGGCCAATCTGGTTCAGAAAAATGATTTCTGTATTTCTAAAAAGAAACATCACACATACCAGTTTTTCAACACTGAACTAGTCCAGCCTACGCAAGCACACTCGAAACTACTGATCGAAACAAGCCTCCATATGGTCTGCGGTCACACTGTTCTCCTGACACGTACCCATCACCCAGATGGCATATTCGGATGGCACGAAGTATAACAAAAGTTCACGAGCAATTCCAAAGTTTGAATAGATGGGAGTGAGAATGCGAAACTATTTCAATGGAGGAAACCGGGAGCTGCGACCCCTCCGATTAGGTAACCATAAGCTTTAAATTTGAATGTGATGTTTGGTAGAGTGCACAAGTAGTAATAACAATTGGAGTAACAAACACGGCCAGATCAGGAGCATCAGTGAGAACGTTGAGAGTGATGCTCAAAACGTCGTTTACTTAAATAAATCATATGCACCATTTCAAATGGGCAACCTTCCAAACTCTCTGGAAAAGTGAACAGAAGTTGATAGCGTAGATGTCCGCGACATCGGCAGGTGGCGATACCTGGCAGCACACTAAGAGTGACAAAGATCCCCCATCCTGGAAGGTTCGCCATGCCAAAAAAAGAGGAAAGCGAGTTTTGTCACGTCCCGATGAGGCGGTGATAACTGGTTGGGTTATCAACGTCATCGACAGGATATCATCGAGGCATACCATCGATGCCTCGTTTCCATACAGTCACAGTTTATTTGGAAGCCCTATTGTGGAGAAAATAATAAAAGTGGATGGGGCAGGGCCTATCACAGTCATTCTGAGGTGTCTACATCTCCAAACACGAGCTCAAACACTGGATAGGAAATGACGACAAGAACTTTTGACATAGACTAGAAGCCATATATTACAGCGTCCCAAACCGTGCACAAGGAGGATCACGTGAACCCCATCTTTGAAGGTGAATCGCACCAACAGTATCCACTATAGGTAGTCTCTTCTATACACCTGTGTCGTGCCAAAGATTGGTCACCTCTCTGCTCTGAACCGGGCGCAGAGAACAGCACTTTTCTCCGGCCAACGGTGATTCGGCACGTGCAATACATAACTAAACCAACGCAGTTTTTGTAGCCAGACATATTCTTCGATTGAATTCCCCGGTACGCAAAGAAACGTCATCATCATCATCACTATCGGCTGTAAGAACCGCGTACTTGTCGTACAGTGGTTGTAGCCCCCACAGTTTTGTCCACCGACGATGTGGGGAAGGGGGTGGGTGGCTGTGCAATGGAGGCGGGAAATGATAAATTGGTGCATAAATACAGGTGCCAGTGAACTTTTAAGTGGGAAGATTGGGAAGGAAGCTGTGTATGGAAGCCAATAGCTTGGATGCACGAACGCCATTGAAGGCGCAACTGCGCTGTCTGACAATGTCCCCAACCATTGATGTGGCCCGTCTCGGGGTCCCTATCCAGGGAAACGGAAATGATCAGTGCAGCTGGGTTTGGCGGTAATGGCTTTCACACTGCTACCAAGTCATTGGCCTTCCTTGGCTCGTTTCCACCCTACGTGTGGTTGTGCAAAAAGAACCCTTCAAGGAAGTGGGTCGACTGGTAAAGGGAGCACGTGGCCAAACCAGGGAAACC